CACGCAATAAAAATTGAACTTGAAGTTCATATTATATTTCTACCAAGAGAAATCTATAGAAATAATGGAGTGACCAATTTGTATATATATATATAGTGAGAACCGTGAGAACCATATTTGATGCTATTTTTAATTGTGTATGATGCTATTTTTAATCTTACATGGTGCTATCATTTTTACAAATGCTAAGTTGCTATTTTTAATAAAATACATCCTGATTAAAAATAGCACTAAATACAATCAATCATAGCACTACATACAATTAAAAATAGCGGTTCTCACGGTTCTCACGCTAGGACTTGGTTCTCATTTGAACCACATCCTATATATATATATATATATATATAGATGTACCATAAAGTAAGCAAATTCCCTCAGGAAAGATTGACTCCTTAATGCTAGAAGTATAAGGTGATATAATTAATATATGATGTATGAAAGTCCACGGAAAATGTATATTCAAGACTTAACACTCCTTTATAAATAACTCCTGAGGAGTTGATCCAGTACATCTTGTACGTGCATCAAACCATTATAGTACTGGAAATGCAGAACGACCAAAATTAGATGTTATGGGAAATGATTATAAATATGGCTAGTAAATATGAAGTTGCATATATGGTTGAGAGAAAAATATAAATTGAATATCATAGTTGTCGACAACATACTTGCCTATGTGATTTCTTTACTATCTCAAATAATGATCTGGATCAAAGAATGGAAGTGATAGAAGCACTTGGGTTGATTGAGATAGATAGAAAAATTGAGGCAGAGTTTTCACTCGCTACACGATATATCCTAGGAGGATAGAATATCCCAGAAGGATAATGAATAAATATATGAAATATGTGATGTGGTGGTATGATGTAAATATAGCGAGATTATGCTCATGGGTTTATGCAGAGACCCAAATATTTATTTAGATAAGTTCTCTCATTATCAATGATTCCGCAAGTTAATATTTATGGCAGCATCATTATCATGACTATTGAGTCATATGTGAAAGTCCTAAATGGACTCGAGTACCCGAGATGAACGATAATTAAATAATAAATAGTTTAATTATTTGAAGTTGTTGGTAAAATGTGGTACAACCAACTAAATTCTTCCTGGAGAAGTAAAGTAAGAAACTCAAGGTAGAACCTTGTATATATTAATGATAATATACAAAATGATCATCTCGGTCAAATAGATTATGTGGTGAACACTATGTAAAAGATTAAATAAGTTAGCTCATGCTTATAGACGGAGTTAGAATGAAACTCTTGGTTAAATAGAAAAGAGTATTATCTCGACTTGTAGATCGAGCATCTCCTAGAAGGAGTATTTTTGACCCAACCAATCTACTTGAATCTCTTTTTAGAGATGTAAAATTATAACACCAATGAGTGTCAAATATTTCGAGTTTGACAAAGATCCAAAGAAACAAGTGAGGATATTATAGGACCTAAAGTTCCAATAGACTTGAAGTCCACAAACAACCTGAAGTTTATTTACTAAGCGCAATTGTGCTGAACTTTTATCATGCAAACTGCATCAGGTCTGATACTGCATTTGTGATGAATTTGCTAGCAACATTTACTATTTCTCTTCTTAAAGAGATCGTGAAAACTGAGAATATCCCATTATGCGTTCATGTATGTTGAGTTATCTTTAGACTTGATATATAATATAAGTGTAAAAGGACATCAAGTGTATAATTGATCCCCGAAGTACTGGGTCCTTGATTGGTTATATACCTCTCAAATGGTATTAACTCTTTACCATTGGTTATTGAAATTTTCCCATATTTATCTTGAAGATGACTTAGTTTGTGTTACACAAATAAATTGTGGAAATACATTTGATGATATTTTTGAATCCATATTAACTCCGGAAGAGCAACCAATGACGATTTTATGTAGATACTCTTACCTTGAGGGGGAGCAACAAACATTTATAAATGTAACTTGAAAGGCTCTTGCCTTCAGGGGAGCGATAAATAAATCCTGAAGATTGAGCCCGGAAGGCTAATTGTAATCCTAAAAATTCGGTCCTGTTGGTTGGTGTTGTACTCTTTTTCCCTTACCTAAGTTTTTTCCCATTGAGTTTTACTTAGTAAGGTTTTTAACGAGGCAACAAGTGTAACACATAAATATGCATATGTCATGTACTCTTTTCCTCGATTATTTTTTTTCCACTGGGTTTTGTAGCGAGGTTTTTAACGAAACATGGACATGATGCGGTAATGTCCAATGGGGAGTGTTGTAAATATTAATTTGTGGACGTTACCTAGATATAGGCTTTGTAGGTATGGGCCAGGAGTCCATTAGGTCTATAGTCATGTACATTGTATTCTCTTATGTATAGGGCTCAAGTGAATGAATAAGATGATGGTTTAACGGCATATCTCTTCTCTCTTATTGTCTTCTACTGCTTTTTCTCTTTGTGTATCTATCTACATATCGATCTTACATAATGACAATCTGTATTACAACAATACTAAGTAGCCCGGTCCCAAATTCCATCGTTGCAATTCGTTTAGTCTTAGTAATTTATTTTATTATTTTTATATTTTATTTTAGTAATTGTTTTCAAACGTTTAGAACTTAGGGTCTTTACATACACATCTAAGAAATTAGTTATTTTGTAATTGCTAGACTAATTTTTATTTAAATAACAAAAAATTGAGGGAAAAAATTATATGTGTTGAGCATACTATATGGAGATGTATAAATTAATGTCATTCGATAAACTTGAGGCAAAATAAAATATATATACTAAATGTATTTTAAAATATTAAATAAATTGGTTTAAGAAAAAAAAAATAAAAGTGCCCGGGTAAATAGAGATTATTCATCTTTGCTAAATTTGAGGAACATGTACTAAGTCCGTTGGTGTCACATTGTGAATGTAATGTCCTTGCGGTTAGTGGTCTTTGGCCCGTTTAGCCCGGAAAAAAATAGAGTTATGGCCTTTTATTGTCAGTCCGTTTAAATCCGGGCTTTTTAGGCTCGAACCGTTTAGCCCGAAGCCCGTTAGGACTAGCCCGAAAATTGCTAGGGCTAGCTCGTTTAACTTGGGTTGGGTGGTGTATATGTTTTTAGAAAGGTAAGTAATATGTCTCATCCTTGTATACTACAAGTTTGCTATTCTACTTCACATGTAATTATGAGTTATAATGTATTATTATTATTATTATTTTGATAGATAATTATTAACTAATTTTATTCTATTTCACAGCAAAATATTTAAGCCAATCAGAACAGCTAATAAAAAACAAATGAGACAAAAATCTAACACATAGAATATAGTGATAGAATATAAATTCACCAATATATTATATTGTGAAAATTTCCGAAGCGTACCAAATAACTAGTCAAATGGTAGTTATAAGTAATAGTTCGAACATTTTTTTTTCTATTGAGAAACAATATGTTATTTAAGAGTTTGTAATGTGTGTTCATATATGAAGTGTAGTTGTATATATATAGTGGTAAATAGTAAATAACCGTTGAAAAAAACTGTTAACTAGGTGTTGTAATTTATTATTATTATTATAGCCCGTTTAGCCCGAAGCCCGCTAGGTTTAGGGTTAGGTCATTTTTTTGGTAACCCGTTTAAATCCGAGCTTTTTAGGCCCGGATTGTTTAGTCCAAAGCCCGCTAGGGCTAGCCCAAAACCGCTAGGACTAGCCCGTTTAACATCTCTACTTGCAGTGTAGAGAAAGATGTAAACTTTTTATTTCTTTCTTCTATCTTTATCTGATAATATCCAGATTTACAATCGAACTTGGAAAACAACTTTGCGCTCATGATACAATTCAACCATTGTTTCTTGATAGAATGGAGTATCCATCAAATTCCAAGATGTGATTAATCCCTTTGTAATTAATGACCAATCTCAGTTTTCCTTTGTTTACTTATCTGTGATTGCGGACTAAAAATTCAGGGCTACTATTTGGAGAAACTTCTGCTCTAATTAACTGGTCTAAGTGTTCATTAAGTATACATAATTGAAATTATATAAAAGGTAAGAAAAAATAAGATAATTGATGAATACTCATTTTTATTCATTTTTTGGGAGAAAACTCTTCTTCTCTTTTTGTTAGTCTCCTCTTTCTATAGAATTATTCCACCTTTTATGGTGTAGTACATTTGGTATTATTTCTCTTATGTAGTAAAAGTTACTATTCATTGTGTAGTACAATGAGATATTATCCCTAAAATACAAGACACCAATCAATACATTTCGGGGACGTCATCAACCCAACACACTGGGACATAGTGACCGTAAATAATATATAACAACACATCATATAAAATCACCCATTTACCAAAATACCGAGTATGTCATTCTAGTAGAGTAAGAATCATTCATGGTAAATCAAATAAACAAGTAATGAATATATATGCCTATTTTATATTATCTTACAACTTAAGAGTACGCATCAATTACTGAAGGTCTAGATTATAACTACAATCAGTAAATCTTATAATATTATCCTTCCGCGGTCTTGTTCAAATACTTAACATATACTAGTGTAATCCTTCAGTCAAAGATCAACTGAATCAAGACTACACTACAGTCATTTTTCAACAGGGGTCTCACTGTCTGTCTAGACTGTGAACAATTAGTTTATATTTTACAAGGAACCGATAATATGATCTTTCTGTTCGACAAGGAGAACCATACTATCTACAATGTAAAATAAAAGAGTTATGATTGCATAAATAAATAAACTGCAAACATAAATACTTTGACTAAAACACGATTGCCAGATCAAATGGAATTACTAGAATCTGAAAACCAAGCTTTTACAGCATATCCTAACACATGTCACTTGGAAGAACTTCTGGTTTTGCTATGAAAATTCTCGCTCCTCAATTCCATTTTCTCTCTCTACCAAAGACCCTTTCTCTCTCTCAAAGAAAAAACAAACCAGATCCCCTTTCCCGTCACCCCCCTTAGCATTCTACCAGGCATCAGCCCTCCGTTTCCGGCTTGGCCGACATCGGAGGATGCTTTTCCGCCCCAATTTCAGTTGTGCGTGGGTCGACTTTGTAGCGGCTCCCGGAGTTGCTGCGGCGTGGCTCTCGTGTCGGCTCAGGTTGGGGTCGTTGTGCGGTTTTTTTCCTCCTCCGGCCTTGTGCCCGGACGGGAGGCCTCCCTTTGGCCACCTTATTGTTGTTCTGGTTGGAGGCTCCCGGAGGCTGAGCTTCCTCTCTCGGCTTCGGCGGCGGTAGTGTATCTCGTCGTTGCCTTTCTTCGCATGTGCTTTTTCTCTCCGGTGCGGATGTCCTATGAAGGTCAGATCTGAACTGAGAAGTTACTCCTCGTCAGATCTGTCTAGGTGACTCAAGTTTCGTCACAGTTTTTGGGTCTGGGGTTTCGGTCTACTCCTCTTTTGGGCTTCTGTGCGGTAGACTTCGGCTTGTGCGCTGGTTCGGGCGGCTGTGTGTTCTGCGTGATAGGTGCAGGGGAGGTTTTATTATTAGTATATGTTTTTAGGTGTGTGTCGTTTTTCTTACCTTTATGTTTTTGTTACCTTTATGTTTTTGTTGGTTTATTAGTGCAGCTTTGTCTGCTTTCAGTGCAGCTTTGTCTGCTTTCAGTGCAGCTGTGTCTGCTCTTTGGAGTGTTGTTTTGTAGTTGTTTGCCTCCTTGATGGAGTTTGTACCCCTTGCGTGTGATGACAAAGGGGTTGGTCCAGTCTTCTGGTTCCAGCGTATCATTTGACACTTCGATTATACTATGTTGAGTTTTTAAGGTTATTAATATAATTGCCGTTTGAAAAAAAATATATATATATATATGTATAATACCCCAATCGAAATGTATATAGAGAATGAGATGGTTGTCATTTAGATCCTACATCTTCTCCCATTCATCGTGAATTCCATCATGTCTTGTCACTCTTCCCAAGGTTGTGTTTTTCAAGAAATTCAATCCTAGAACAAGTCGTTATAGGATTCTACTCGCTTCTTCTGTGATGGTGGTTTCAACTTATCCAACCTTCAGGATTCTTTTGTATTGCCCTGTTACGGGTTACTGGAGGTATTATAAGGCATTACAAGGAAAGAGATTATCCTTTTGTGTGCTGTCGAACATTATTTCTACTGACCTCCATCCTTCAGGGCATTTAATTCCTCCATTTGTTTTGAATACATCTGGAGTTCTTATATGTATGCTTGTCATTTGTTTCTAAATTCTAAATGCTAATAAATTTTATAAGATAATAAATTTTTATTTATAACATAATAATTTTTAAATTCTAACACAATTTCTATAATAAATAAAAATCTGATCAGTAATAAATAAATAAATAAGCCGGCCAATGGCGTCCGGTTGGTATCGCCGGTCGACCGATGACGGTCCGGTCGGTTTCGCCGGCTGGCCGACGATAATTTGCACCTCATCGTTGCTCATTTTCGTCGGAAATCGCCGGAATTTCAGAGAATTTACGATTTTTTGAGTTTTTTTGAAAAAAATGTCAGGGGCAAAACGATCCAAGAAAGAACGGTACGTAGTAATAAAGGAAACAGTGTTTAGTAACACCCGACCTCTATTGGTATATACGCATGCTCTACTCTCGAGTGGTTATGTCAAGTGGTTTGTAAACTTGGCTCAACCAGATAACTAAATCTAAAGATCAAATTGAACTGACTTACTGGTACAGATCAATTTATGTTGTCCAAAATTAGGGTATATTAGCTCATATCTTATTATGATTCCAGAGGAATCATGCAAGATCAAATTCAGTGTCTTTCCCCATTATTGACAGTCAACTTTGCCCAATTATATGGAACTTTTTTCTACCATCACTTTTCATATGCTACTTTCTTTGTTGTTAGATCTGTCCAAGGAGTTGTGCACTCAATTTCAACATTCACACTACTAAGTACTAACCACCTAAACAAGCCAAGAATCTCAACTTGATTAACGACTCAAACACCACTAATGAGCTTAATTCAGACACAGGAGATCCAACAACTTCAAATCTAAAGGAACTTAAAAACAGAGAAAACCAAAAGATACACAAGCATAAAAGGGAATTTAGAAAATACCCGAAAAAACAATAGGCGAATAATTAGCAAACACCCCGCATATGAAATATGTAATTGAACACAAGCTCCATTACAGCCCAACGTCTATTCATGGGAACAGAGTCCAACAATCTACATCTGTATTATGTCAACTACACAGATATTGACATCTACAGCCCTATGTTTTACACCTCAAACATAACAAAGACAAGCATTTGAATATCCTCTTTATAACACATTAGTCTACACATTTGAAAGGAGTTTTCTGCCTGGCTGCTTCAACCACGATTGTTATGACCTATCAGAAAAACAAGGGTGTCAAGTTTTAAGATCCTTTTCCAGGAAGTGAGAACATTATGCATTATTCATAAAGTAAGAGAAGAAAAGACTCCTTTACTACCTCTTGATTGCGCCTTTGTTCTGACTCTTGTGGCTTTTGTCATGAGAAAATGAAGGGATTTTTGAGATTAGCAGTGAACTTTGTAGCCCTTCCAGTAGCTGGATAGAAACAACAGAGGCACCAAAAAAGGCAATGAGAGATGGCACAAACTTATATGTATCTAAACGTAATATGTATATTTATTATTTTCTGATACGTGTATTTACCATATATTATATGTAAGACACTGAAATTTAAATTCATGTATTTAGTTGTATCTTATATATAATGTACCTATATGTTGATGCATTCTTCTTTATGTAATGACCTTCATATTTTTAATCTACACGTATATTGACGTTAATTTACTTGTCTTATATAGGGTGATCTATATTTATCTTTATACGATGTGATGTATCATCATATCCACCTTGCAAAATGTAGACCATGATTCATGACGATTGTCCAGTAGATACCAAATCAGACATCAATTATTCACTTGGAACGTGTCACACATTAATACTGCTTTGTGTTAGGACTACAACTTATGTTATGCAAAACTTCATTGAGGAGAAACTCTAACCCCGTCGAATAGCATTCGACGTTTAATATTGGATTCTAAAACAGCTAGTCATAGAATAACAACTGGCAGCATTCTTACTTGCACAATTTACCTTCATTGGATACTAAACATAGACCTTATTTTTAGCTTTCTTTTATTTTAGATAAGTAACATCTAATGATCAATGTAAATATTACATTTTCACACTTTAAATCCAAAGATGATAATTAGTCAGTCTATATTTGGCAAATTGAATCTGTCAGATTACCCAATTAATAGCAATCACGCATTCACGTAACTTACCTAAATGTAGTTAGTTAGTTAAAGTTTGATATGTTTTGGTGAATTGGATTTTCTAAATACATATTTAGATTGGACCCTTATGGTTTTATTGTAATTTGATACCTTATAGTGGTAAAATGTAAACCTAAATTATGCTAATAGCTAAAATAAAATATCTA